TTCAATCAAGAACCCTTTAACGCTTGCAGCGGAAGCAACGAACTTTGAATCTTAACGAGAAGCATGTGGAGGAACGAGCATAATGTGCGTGCTTCCATAATAAATTTCTAACATTCTTCATTGTTTCACACTTTGTCTTTTTTTTTTTTTTTTTCTTTCATATATTTATTCTTTTCTCTCGGTAATACTGATTTAAACAGAAAAAAAGACAGACAAATTAAATATATATGAATATCTCAAAAATGTTGTGAAAATGTCATAAAAATGTTTTTAATAGTTGAGTAAAAAAACATTTTTATAACATATGATAAAATATTCTTGTAATAAATAATAAAAAAAAATATTTCTTATATTATATTTAAAATATAGGTTTACTTTTATCACGGTGGAATATGAGCACGTGTTATTCATTCAATAAACAGTTTATTACGTACAGTGTTACGCAAAAGTTTTTTAATCGCTTAACAAATAGAAATATTTACTTTTATAAATAAAAATATATTGGTAAAAAAAAAAAGTTGGCAATGTTTCATAAAAGAATATATATTTTTTAATTCGTGTTAAAATAAGTATCTACAAGGTGTTTTATATATTCGATGATCGATTCCAAAGACCATAACAAAATAGAAAGATTAATGTACAAAAATATCGGTTGAGACTTATTTATTAAGTTATAAAAGTTTATGTTAGATAGAGCGAGAGGGAAATAGAGATGGCGCGGTGTGACGAAGATAGAATTATCTTACTCAATCAACTTATTTAAATTATTTATTGTTAATAACAAATGGATTAACCGATATTATTTCTGCATGCCAACTTCGTATTCTGTTGTGATCTCTAGAATCGACTCTTTAAAGGTATCTTCGAAGATATATATCCAATTTAAATAATACCAATAATATTTTATTTCTGATAATATGATATTACGGTTTAAATATACGTAATATATCTAATATTAATAAAATAGATATGCAATTAAAAAATAAAACAGATAATGACAACATTATATTATCATAAATATTTTTGCATAAAAAAAAAACATTTTACTAATTTGAATTTTGTAATTTTTTTTTCAATATCTTCGAAGAATACTCGAAATATTAAACGAAATGGAAATGGAATGAAGTCTGTTTACAAAAGCTAAAAGAAAAAGATCGATCGGTTGCTTTACTTGTACCGACCAATATGATTGTATCATATATCGTAATTATCGAATTCGTGAACACATTCCACATAGTGATTCATATGGCTTCGCTCTTCAACGTGACCAGGTATGTATCGTTTTTCAACCAAACGAACGTACTTAACGATAATTATCTTATGATATATTTACATTTTTATCTTTACCTTTAATTTGCTTAACTTTTGTTTCGACGTCATTTACATATAAATTATAAATCTCTTATTAACATTTACTTGGGACAAAGAACATTTTGTTGCAAAAAAAAAAAAAATTGCATTCAAATATTATATATTAAAGAAGATGCCCTTAATATCATTGAAACAATTTAAAGAAACACGTATACATTCTTGATAAAGCTTGGTCTCTCTTCATTAAATATTTTGTCTTCGATATTTTTATTTACCTCTCATTGATAAGATAATAGGTTCTATAAAAATAGATTATACACAATGATCCGTTAAATCATTATTTCTGAGTATATACATTATTAGGTACATTTTGAGAATCAACGATATTCCACGTAATGTATTATAATCCATTTAAAATATATCTTATATACAATATTTTCAATTTTATTAAAAATCATCCGTGAGAAAAAGTTTATATTTATAGTTACACAATTTGTATATTTCCAATTGTTGATAAAATTTGATCACAACAAAGTATCAAAAATTTTTTACTCAGCCAGGAAGAAAACCATAATCATTCGACGTTCACTCCGATCTCGAGAAACGTCTCGTTTAGAATGCAAGCCGCGTATAACCTACGCTAAAACTAAGATCGACGATATTTGAAAAATCAGTGCCGAATGCAGCCGAATGACACCATTTTGAAATAACTCGGTATGCACACTCCCACGTAATATACACTGTCATCCATAGTGTCACCGCATACTTAATACGTTTAAAATAGAGATAAATGAACTTTGTGTCATAAAAAGAAAATTCCAACAAAATTAATTTCCATTCATCATATTTTTAAAAATCCGATTGTAAATTTACTTGAACGAAAATTATGATTTGAAGATTAATATTGCCGGAAGAAAAAGTTTAATTTCAATATTTGATTTTTTTCCAATCAATATTACATTTTACATTTCTTTTAATATCTATAGAAAATCTACATGTAAATCTCAAATCTTATAGTACTTAATTATTCGTAATACATAGAAGATAAATATTTTTATATTAAAAATAAAAAGAAAATTGCACTCTTCAAAAAAAATATTTTATAAATCATGAATATCTCAGAATTATTATAAATAAATAATAAATTGAATCTTGTTCCCCGACCGATCAAATATCCGGCGACTTATGAACGGGAGTGTACATGCACGCAAGTATGATCGCATAGTGAACGAAGAATTCACGGTTCTTCATAGAAACAATTATCATCGATCTAGATTCCCCATTACGAAATCGCAATCTCGCGGAATCGAATAGATAATTTTCTTCTATGATAATTCATTAATATGTGTTTAACACTTACCCAGAAGTAGGTAGAATTTCGTCGAATAGAGGGGGACACGTGTCACAGGATGTCCGTTCTGGGATAAGTGGTGTCGAATATTAGAGAGTAGCACTCACCTTGCCCGAGGTCGGAGAAGTTCTGAGATGCGCTGACTCTTGGCAGGTTTCTCGATTCGCTTACGGAAGCCTCAACAAAACTCGGCAATCTAATTTGCTGGTAATTTACGTGCCGATATCTTCAATCATTGTTGTCATAAGAATACATTCTTAGGCGAATGTACGCCCCGATTATAATCCGAGAATGAATAAACCGATCGTGTTAATCTTACCTCGATCGAAATAGTTTCTGAAGTTGCTGAAGTTGTTGAAGGCATCGATGAAAATAAATGTTTTTCCGAGGGGAAAGAAATGAGAGATGCCCGAGATTAATCGAGTAACTTGGATCATCATGGAGGAAAGTACTGCGTTTAACGTTTGATAAACTAAAATTACAGAATAAGTTAAAAGTTAGATTACGAGAAGGAGTTAAAGCACTGTGGAATATTTACGTAAGCATTAAAGGTTGTGGGTATAAATATAAATTTTTTTAGTTTTAATTCTAAGTAAATTTTAATTTGAAAATGTATATGATATTCTATATAACTACGTGATATCTGATATGTGATATTCTATTTCAAATATGAGAAAGTATTTATACCGTACGAAACTCTGATCATTGTCAATAAATCTTATTATAATTCTTTTATTTTTTTATGATATTAGAAGAGAAGTTCAATGAAAAATTCATTTATGTCTTTATAAAGATATTTTTTTAAAATACGTCGTATTTTTTGTACATTTATATGTATGCAATCGTATTCAAATTATATTTTTCAATATCAGATTTCTGAAAAAATTTTATTGTAAAAATTAATATATATTTAATTCTGTATTTATATAAACTCTATTATGTAAAACAATAGTATAAATTATTTTATTATATCAAAATGATAGTTAGATACTTCTATTTTGAAAGTTTTATTAAAGTAATTTTATTGAATTTAATAACAATAAATATAATGGAATTAATTTAAAATAATTATCACAGACAAGATACAAAATTTAACATTTAATTTTAAATTCTTGTTGTCTTGTATTCGATAACTATTTCAATAATTAAACACTTATATTAGGAATTCTTATATATATATATATTATAATAATATATATTATAATAAAGTTATAAATATCGTAGAAATATTATATTATAGAATTAAGAAATGCAATATCTGTATTTTTACATTAAAGATAAATTTACACATTATATTTTTGAAAGAAAAATAATAAATTACAATTGGCATACCATAGCTTGTTTGTGGTTATGCGCACGCGCCAAGACAAGTATAAATAAAGAGAACAAATAATGAGAAAAGGATAGATATAGATTAAAAATTGTGTAATCAGCGCCATCTTCAGAGTGCCGCAAATGAAACACAACATGAACAAAGAGAGCAAATAATAAAAGAAGACAGAAATAAAGTAAAAGTAGCTACTAGCGCCATCTCTTTGTTTTTGAGAGAAATATCTTTTTAAAAATAATCAAGAGATGGCGCTGATGTTCAATTCCTATTCTATTTTATCCTATCTTTGAAGAGATGTTTTTGATGTTCGAGAGATGGCGCTAGTTTTCAATTCTTTTCTGTTTTATCCTATCTTTGAAGAAATACTTTCGATATTCGAGAGATGGCGCTGATTCCTCAATTTTTATCCTATTTACTCTCCTTATATTTAAAATTTATGCGTTCAAAAATTAATTCGATTTATATAATTATTTTTATTTTTTTCTAATATTATTTTTTTTCATAATAATATAGAATATACATAACTTCTACAGATACTATTTAGAATTAATTTTTTCATTTAATTCAATTATAAATAAAATAGTGTTGATAAAATTAAAATATGACTGATATCATTTTTTTAATTTTTAAATAGCATACATTTTAAGTGCCACATGTGTTACTACAATATATATAAATAATTTTTGCAAAAGAAATACTCTATCATATGTTTAAAATTTTTATGTCAATTGATATACTATAATATTGTTTATATAATGCAATAAAATTATTAATAAAAATTCATGTATCTAACTAATTTTTAAAAGGAAAAATATATTATAATAAATAAAAATCAACATTATCAATTATTAAATAGTTTTATTTTTCTTTGTTTAAAAAAAATTACTATTTTTATATTATGTATTATGTATTTTTTAATACTTTTTATATATAAAAATAAAATATAATTCTAATTATTTGAGATAAATATAGAAATATAATTTTATCGCTAAATTTCTTATTTTTTATTAATCTTCATAAAACATTTGTTTATTTTAAAGCAGTAATTGATTGTAATTTCACCAGAATACATCTTACTTATAATAAGAATTTGAAAATTATACAACAAATAAACATTTACAATTTATTTTATCTTCATATGTAGGTTCAAACAGTACGTATTTAATTAAATAGTATTAATGGTAAAAATTAATGAAGTAATTGTATTTAATACATTGCATTGCAATTTCTAACCTTAATTTTTTTCTATTATGTAATCTCAATTTATTTTCTCAATAATCTCAATTTATTTTTCATCTAGAATACGATTTGAAAAGAAGTTAAATATTTGTTTATACAATATGAATAAATACTTGACACTTGCAAAAGCAGGTACAAGTTACGCCAAACATATGAATCGTTTGAGTAATCGAATATTCGGAGAAGTAACAAGAACAGTTAATTCAAAATCTATGAAAGTAGTTAAATTATTTAGTGAAAAACCATTACAAAAACGACCAGAAATTGTTGATTATTATCCACGGCATCGTGAAACTAATGAATTAATGAATCATCTTAGAAATTATGGATTATTCAGAGACGAACATCAAGATTTTAATGAAGAATTTCAACGTTTAAGAGAATTTCGTGGAAAAAAGAAATGGATTCCACCACCTTTTAGAAAATAATCATTTATAAAATTTGCATATATTCAATGTATTACATAAAATTATTTTGTATAAAATATCTGTTGTATAAATAAATTCAAATGCCATATGTGTAAATAATAATATAAAGATTCCAAAATACAAAATAGTAGAATAGATATAATTTTTTAGGACATATCATAACATTACATGAATAGGAGGAAGTTACTTCTTCAAAATTAAATGGTAATAATAATTCAAGATCATCTATATCTACTTGATCGTTATATCCTTTTATGTCTTTATGAAATTGTTGATTATTGCACAACAACGATTTATTTATAGTACTAAATTGTTTTTTTTTATTTAAATTCCATATGTTTTGACTATTATCTTCAGAATTTCCAATTTCTTTATATTTATAAATAATATTACTTGTTTCTTTTGCTATATCTATGTAAGACATTTTATATAACTATTAGAAAAAGATGACTTTATATCAATACAATTATTAAAAATAAATTGTAATTTAGTTTAAACATAAAATTTAGCCATACTTTTCGAAGATGAATTTTGATAATTTATTGTCACTTGAGGTATATTCTTTGAATTGTTTGACAAATTATTTATTTCTGAATCAGTTTGTAATAAGTCTGAATAATTCCACAAACATCTGTGCATACGAATGTTTTCTGTAAAACTATTATTTTCCCATTCTTTTGAATCCTTGTTACTAAAAACTAAATCATTTATCCATGTCCTAATTAATTAAAAAATTATATTATATTAAATTTTATATGAAAAAAAAACATTTCATATATTTTTTTATAAATTTAAAAATATTTTGTATATTTTCAAAAATTTGTGAAATTTATTTAATAAATTTATACCAAAATGAACCAATATCAATATATGTTGGAAGATCTCCACATTCTAAAGAAAAGTTTGTCCAAGATGCAATTCCAACTAGAGCTATCTCATGATTTTGATTTTCACATATAACTGGAGAACCAGGATTACCAGCACAAGCTATAATTTCATCTTTATATTCAACCATTGTACAAAATAAATTTGTATAATTTGTATATGTTTTTATCATGTATGTACACATTTTCCAGGAATTAAGAAATACTTCATGATATTGAATTGGTTTAGCCAGAACTTTTAAAGATGGTGAAACATAGCTTTGCCATCCAAATATTAGGCATAATTTGTAATTATCATTATATTTGACAGGTACAATATTAGGTAGAATTATTTTATTATGATATATATTAAATGGTTTTGTAAGTTTCAAAAGAGCTATATTATAATCTCGATCAGGAGGATCAGAGTAAGCTTCATATGTAGGATGTATGTATGTAGCTTTTACAGATATTGTTTGTTTAGAGTTAGTTCCATTCAGTCCAGTTGCAAATAAAGTAATGGACTGTGTTAATAAAATTAAGATATGACTATTGATACCTTTTCTTTAATTTTTAAATAGTAAAAATATCATACATTTCTTTTGTCTTGCACACATTGTGCTGAGGTTACAACCCAATCTGGTGAAAGAAGTACTCCACCACATGGTGTTACTGTTTGAAATTGTATCAACCAGGGAAATTGACCATCTTGTACTCTTTTACCTTTTAATAATATATTTTTACATTCTTCAAAATTTATAAAAATAAAAAAAAATGAAATGTATATTGACATATTTGTTAAAATATAATAAAATTAAAATACATATTTAAAAATATATGCTATTTTTATGCAACTATCTTCAAGTTATATGCAATATAAGTATAAATATGTAATATAAGTATAAATATGTATTTACAATTTTTAGACATAAAATTGTTTATTAAAAGCAAAATATATTTATGATTATATCAAACATTGATATATATATATATATATAATATAATATTTATAATCCAAATATTATATTATATTATTAAATTTACAAATTGGATATGAAAATGTGACACATTGCAATGTTTAATATAATATAATGACTTGATAAAAATGATTGAATATTCATATATCCATTTTTTTTAAATTTTATAAATGTATCATATTCAATTCCTCCTTACATTTTATTTTTTTTATATATTGCTATTAATTATCCTATTATATATTAAAAGATTTTTCAATGAATTATAATAATTCATTATTATATGTATATACATACTATATTATATATATATATAATATTCATAATTATATATAATAATAATAATTTTATTATTAATAATTTATAATTCTTCTTTTATATCTTTTTCTTTATTTTGAATTATTGTATGTTCTTTTTTTTTTATTTTTTTCTCTTTCATATCATTATTCATAGTTTCACCTTTTTCTTTCAGACAAGAATCATCTTCTCCTTTTAATGCTTTCTCTGAACATAAATATCTAATAGAATAAAAATTATGTAGTTGAATTAAATTCAAAGCATAATAATAATAATAATCATTACCTAATTAAAGGGATTTTTCCTTGATGATTATGATACCAGTCTTCAATATCAGCCTCATGATTTTCAATTAAATCTTCGCACTGTGATTTTAAAGTAGAAATTTCAACAGATGGTTTATCCCATAATTCATATGGTATTCCTAGTTCAACTTTGACTCCTTTATCTCTATAATTATAATTGTAAAATTATAATTATTTCTAATTTCTATAATTATTTCTATATTTAAAATCTAATTTAAATTTAATTTGGAACTACATCTTACACAAGATCATGGAGTGCTTTAAATGTCTGACTCATTCCCTTGGCAAATCTTGTACTATCTGTACGTTCTTTGTGAATATTATATTCCAATATACGTTCACATAAATTTTCTATACTTTCTACTAAACGTAATTCTCTAAACGGAATAAAAACAAAGTTTTCACAAATTATAATTTACAAATTAAATGCATTTCTTTAAAAATATATATATTTACGATTTTTTATATTCTTTCTTTTTCTTGGGTAAAACATCATCAAGAGAATATCCAATTTCAAGTACATCATGTGTTTTACCTGTTTCATCTAATCTCGCTTCTAATTCAGTGGCAACTACTTTGCAAACTATAACAAAACAATGATATTTATGATATTTATAAAATAGCATCAATAAATTATTGTTTATATATAATTACCTTCGCATTTATTTGCATATTTTACACCTTGATCTTCTTCTGGACCACCAATTACAAAATGAAAAACTAATAACTGTATAAAAAATATTTTTATTAATATATACATTATAAGATTATAAAATTATACTAATAATTTAAAGGAACTGTATGATTATGGAATGATTAGATTATTATTCATTCACATTTATACTTCTAGTTTATATTTAACTATATAAATAGGTTTTTTGTTAGCATTATTACAAAAAATTTAAAATTTTATAGAGATATAATTATAAGAAGAATTGAGCATATTAATTTTATCTTAAAATATCATAAAAACTTTTCTAATTTTATCTTAGTTTGATTGTGGCTCTATTCTATTCGTTGATATAGGCGGCATTTTTAAAAATATCCAATAAGAATAGAGAATATATATATATATATAAATTTATAATAATTATTTCAATATTTAAGAATTCTATATTAAAATATCTAAATCTGTGAAATAATTGAGATAGATTTATATTTAATTTTTATACGAATTTTTAGTTCATTTTTTAGAAAATAATTTTTTTTTTCTAATAACATTATAGATAATGATTATTTTTATTATATATTTATTATTATGTTTATTTTTAAATGTTTGTAAATGTTATTTAAGTATTTACAATTTATCCTACTAACTCCTTATGTTTTAAGTTTAAGCATTTTGTTTTATAAAAAGATTGACAATAGATTTTTGTTTTTTTTTGATAATTGTTAAAATTTGTTTCTTGTTGATATTTGAACAATTTTTTTTTTTGAATATAAAAGCAAATTATTTATATTTACATAAAAGTATATATAGAACTTAGAAAACAAATTATAATAAATTGAATATTGTATCAGATATTTATACGTATATTTATGGTTACAATAGTATATAACCATAAAATTCTAAATTAGAAGATTAATAAATATATAATTTTCTTGTGATATTGTATGATATGTGTAATAATTTTAAATAATATTGCATAATATTTTATGATAAAGTGAATTTAAAATTATATTACTTACGAATAAAATATTTATATTTTTTAAGTTTCTTTTATTATTTTCTACTTTTCTTTATTTAAAAACTAAGAAACAATTTTATAAATAATTTATTATACTTTTTCATATAATAAATTTTGATAAAATTCCATTATATTTTATATAATTTCATATAATTGATATAATTTCCAAGTATACGTAGGATAAAATGTAATCAATTTTTGTATATCACATAAATATATAATTCACTGATTACAAATTATTTTCTCTGAAACTATTAAAGATATATCAATCTACTTTTTTTTTTAAACAAATAATTACTGATTGTTATTGAGTGATAAACTAAACATAAATAAATATTTATGTTTAAGAAAAATTTAAAGGTTAAAAAATATAAGTGTTTAATATGGAAAAATAAAACGTTATAAAATTCATATTTAATAAAAAAATATTAATCATTTTATAACAATGTAATTATTTTTTAATTTTAAAAAAAAATAGAAATAAATTAAGTAACTATATATATATTTTACGAAAATATCTTTTGTATATTTTTATAACATATATATATATATTCTCTGATTATAATCACATTTTATATGAAATAAAATGTATTAATTAATATAAAAATAATATGTAATATATAAAATAATATATAAAAATAATAAAAGATTTATATAAATATAGTTTTTAAACTAATACTTATAAATATATGTGAAAATGTATGTATCTATAAATGTATGTGAAAAAATATTTTAAAGAAAATAATTGTTTTCAATTCCAATAATTGATTTCCAAAAAAAAAGTTCGTAATATTTTCAATAAATTTTTTTTTGTTTGTTTTTAATACAAATAAATATTTAAAAAAAATTTTTCTTTAAACTATTATTAACTTATTTGAACTATTAATAATAATCCTATTTATATTGATATCATATTAATATTGATTTTTAGATTTTAAATCGAAATAATTATAAAAACAGAATAGAAACAAAATAATAATAAAAAATTTGTTTTTTAAAGAAAGTTTGATATTTATGAACATAAAATTCATTCATAATTGTTTTTTTTCAAATAATTAATTCAAAAGAAAAATAAAATTAATTTCATTATAATTATAATTAATATGATAATACATTTACAAATATTATTAAATAATATAAATATAAATAATAATATATATTATCAAAATAAAACTTGTTTAAAATTTTATAATTATTATAATTTTCATGTTAATTTTAATTCTAAACTAAATTTTAAATGACAAATAATTCATAAATAAAAAATTAATTAGAAATTGCAATATGAACAAAAATTTCTATTCTAAAATTTGTTATTTTATCATACAATATAGGAAATAATATTTGCAAATAAAAAATTATTAGCATAAAAATAAAAATAAATTAAAAATATAAAATGAAACCTATATTTATTATACAATATTTGTAAACAGAATGAATTTTTAAAATTAATTAATTATAATCAATTAAATGTATGTTATGTATATCTATCATATGATTATAAATTTATATTATATTAAATGTTATATAAAAAAAAAAATTTTCTGCATTTTTGACTTATATTTTAATTATAAAATATTGAATTTTCATATTTTCTATCAATTACTTATATATAAAACTCTTCGTGTTGATTATATACTTCACATAATAAAATTCATCTGGAGACAGAGAAAGTATTTTCCAATGAATAAATATATCATAAAATTTTTGTATATGTATATAAAAAATAATAAAATAATTTTACTTCAATAACTGAGATTTCATTATATTTTGTTAACAAATATCAATTGGTTATAAAATTAGAGTTATAATAAAATTCATTATGAAAAATATATACATGAAAAAAATTTAAATGGCTTCTTATATAACAATATTTCTCTCCTATCTAATATGAGTTTAAATAAAATTTTATTTAAAATTAAAGTATTGATATTTTATAGTAACATTTCATATTAACTACTTGTAAATTAAATCTGATTTTGAACACTTATTTGAACTCTGTTTAGTAATTACAATAATTTGTACCATTTTAAATCTGTAATTGGATTATTCTAACTCAACTTAATTGTTTTATTTATATTGTATAAAATTCATAAATTTATTATGTTTATAAAGAAATAGAAATTTTTCGCGTATCATCTAAATTAAAACAAATTATTCCATTGAAGAAAGTTACGATACAATATCGAAAAATTGTACAGTTGTCTAATAATGATATTTTGTAATAATTCTTTAAAGATAATTACATCATATCGTCAATATATTCTTATTCTAAACATGTTTTGCTTTTTCAACAATCTCATAGATGTAACACGACTACTGATTTATAAACTTTTAATTTTGTAATTGATCGACAAAAATTTTCACAGCTTTCATATAATTTTCTATTTAAATAATTACAAAACAATATTTTGTTATATATTATTAAAATATTGCTCATAATCAGTCAAATTTTCTGACTCTTATTAGATTATTATCACAATCGTTACATTATGAAATTGTTGGATATAATGATCCCTATTACCATTTGTACAATAAGAGAATTCTTTTATCGCTTCAAATAAAATGTTAACTCATTTAGATCTGTTTTTGTTTTTTTGTAAAAATATAAAAGATTAAAAAATGTAACGTTAATGATTGTAATATGCATTATAATAATCATCATAACTTATGTATGTTTCATACATTATCTTAAAACAAAAATGTGTTTAGAGCCTGAAACATTTGTTTCATTTATTAATTTTACATAAACTTTTGGTTTCATTTCAGTCTTATTGATAAAAATACGATACATATAGAAAGTATACTATCGAGACAAAAACAATTTTTTTGATTAACTCTTTATTTTTGTTTTTATCAATGGCTGCACAAGCAGTCCTCCATAACGAAGTTTTGATGTCAATATAGACTTTAAAAATTTATTTTTTTAAATGACTGAATATATGGAAGCTGCAAGCATTCCATTGTAATGAATATTGTATCCAAGAATATGTTTCAAAGAGATTTTGCCTTTCTGTTTCTTTTGTCTTAAATGTTTACAACATATACAGTTACATTACATAAAAAAGAAAAGAAATTATAATACTTAAATCTAGAGCAACTGGAATTGGTAGTTTTATATATATATATATATATATATAAAACAAATATAAACAATATATAAGAGGAATATATCTTACAAAATCTTATGTAAGAAACACAATGAAATTGCAATAATATAAACATTATAAGAAATTTTTTACATATAGAGAAAAATATACATTCATATTTAGTACGATTAGCTTACATTTGAATAAAAATGATTAATTTTAAATGAATTATGAGTTAAACAAAGCTGATGAAAAAATTATAATAATTTATGTTAAAAACGACTTTATCTTTAGAAAGGCAAAGTCTTGTAGATATATATTACTTATATAATGCTCATCGATCGGCGGTAGCGTTTTCTAGTATTAGTTATAACAACAGGAACCGATACAGGAGCGGGAGGAGTTACAGGTGTAACAGGAGTTATTGGTGTAAGAGGAGTTAAAGGAGTTTCAGCCATTTGAGCTGAAGAGGGGGGCCTGAGCTACCAAATATAATTCTCGGTTTGGGGGGCCCGCATTACTCCCACACCTCCACCGAGTCTTCTATAATTCATACAACCACACAATTTCCATTGATTTTGTTCCGAATCATACACTTCAATTGTTTTTAAATAGGCAGTTCCATCAAATCCACCCACTGCATACAGTAAACCATTCACTACTGCTAAACCTACCTGAAAATATAAAAAATTAATAAATTAATAAAATTAAATAAAAATTAATAAATAAAAATAATTCGTTTGCTAATTAAAAGCACATATAATATAGAATTAATTTAATTTATAATAAAATTTTTTATAAGAAATTTTTGAAAAAATATTCATATTTATTCTTTAAAAAAAAACAATTTTTAATTTATTTAATTTTTTTTCTATTTTTTGAAATTTTTTTAAATGACCAAAATATAAAAAAAAAATTAAGCAACTTACTCCACTTCTTCTTGATGTCATAGCAACTATTGGACTCCAAGAATTTGTATGAGGATTATACCGTTCTGCGCTCGAAAGTTCCATACAATCATCTCGTCCACCAACGGCATAAATTAGATTATTAAATACGGCACAGCCTAAATGCTTACGTCTTGTAGACATAGGCGAAACTTGAGACCATTTATTTTGTCTTGGATCATATCTTTCTACTGTATTTAATGGCGATTGACCATCAGACCCGCCGATGGCATATAAATAACCGCCTAACACAGCAACAGCTACTCCAAGTCTTCTAGTGGTCATTGGTGATACTTTGGACCATTTATTTTCCTTAGGATCATATCTGTATATGATAAATATTCTATTTTGTTTCATATTTATTATAGATATGGGTCTTATATATGACTTCATAATGACGAAGACTATTAAAACGAATTAATCTGAATAACTAAACTTTTTTATTTGAATCATTTTATAATAAAATTTATCTAAAATAAAATGATTTACCTTTCAACATGATTTAAACATTGGACGCCATCCTGACCACCTACCGCGTAAAGAAAACCATCTAATACAGCAACTCCTACACTAGTTCGACATGACGTGGTAGGTGCAACATCACAAGACCACTGATTTGTTTGTGGATCGTATCGTTCGATGCTGTTTAAATAGCTTTGTCCATCGTGACCGCCTACCGCATACAACAAATCGTTTAATACAGCAACTCCGACACCACATCTTCGTTTACTCATTGGTGCAACCATCTTCCAATCCGCAGTATTAGGATCAAATCTTTCCACGCTTGCGATTGCATCACCAGAACACCAACCTCCGACAGCGAATAGAACTTCACCGCGTCTGGTTGGTTTTCTAGGTCGTGTTCTAGGTCCTTGCATCAACGGCCTTTCTTGAGGAAGCAGCAAATAATTTTTCGCTTCATCTACTAAATCTCTACATGCATCATCAGATCTAACTAAAAGATCAGAGCCTACGGTTCCAACTAAAAATTTTGGGCTAAGAAGGGGTAATCGTACATGCTGAAGAACTTGCGCCAAATGCTGTCTTCTTTCTGTAACGTTGTATTTGACCCAATTCATAACTGCACTAAATACCTGTTCTTCCGTTCGAACATTTAATTCATCCGAAGAAATAATATCTACTAATTGGCCAACAGGTAGTAAAAGAAATTCTTCGCTTTCCATTACCTAAAAATAAAAATAAAAATATTTACTTAAAAATCTAAGCAAATGTAAATAATTACTCAAAATTCAATTATTAGATTTGCAGAAGTTTTGCAGAATATAAAGTACATACTTCTTGAAAATTATGTTGAGTGAACTTGTCTGCAATCCGTAAAAGTTCACGACAAGAATGAGTATCTGCAAACGCTCGTATACCTAGACAATTAGATGGATCTAGTTGACGTTTGAGAAACTCGCAACATATATCTTGAATCTCTGCTAGCTGGAGAAGGCACGCTGCTGGAAGGAGAGTTTGAACGTTTGCTTCTTCGACTATAATATGAGAAGTATAACAGAAGTCTATCAATAGTTCCATTGCCATTTCATCTATGTCACGTATTGTAACTTCAGTTTGTCGAGATTCCGCCAGCTCCCCAGTAAACATCGCTCTGCAAAAAATATAATTTTGAAATTTCGATCAATTTAAATTATATTATTTAATTATTAATTATAAATATAATATTTTACCGGAAGTACGGACTACACGCCGATAAAATAACACGATGTGCAAATATCTTTCTAGAGCCGACATTGAGGACAACGTCGCACAGTTCTCGATGACGTCGAAGAACATTAAGTTCCGTGAGTGTAGCACGAGGATGTTTTTCTGATGTATGACTAAGGCGGGCTGGGGAAGGTGCGCGTTCTACGACCATTTCACCCATCCTCTGCGAGGATGGGGCGCCCGCGGCCACTCTTCCCGAGGCGCCCCTAGACCCCCCTAGTTGGAGGCGCAGCGGGGGTGACGCCCAACCCCACACCGAGTCTATCTGCAACACCATTCACCAACCACCACAGCTCTTGAATGTGCCCGCACCAGGCCTCCTGATCTTCTCAAATCCCTAAAATCAAAATATTTTTCTTATTTTTCTATAGTTTAACATTACATAAATTTTTATATACAATGATTTGTCTTGAAAAATGTGTTCAATTGAATAATTTTATTGTATGATAAAGATAGTCTTGAATGATGAAATCGAAGAGATATTTAGATTGGATTTTATAATTGGATTTTATAATTTTTTTCTAATTCTTTATAATGCCATATGACTTGAAAGTCATATGCTTATATGTTCATATTCTTAAAACTTTGTTGTATTTGTTTATAAGCAAATTATTCTGTCTTATTAGTTTGCCATTATATTGACATCACATGATTTACTTAATCATTATTAGTTTCTAAATTTCAGATTAAATTTATAATCAACTAGAATTTTTTCTTCTCATAAGCGAAAAATTCTATTTTTGAGAATTAAATAAATTATTGAATTTTATTTATTCCAATGCGTGATATCAGATCTAAAGAAAAATATGAAAATATAGGTTCAATAATGTAAAGTATTATAAAATATATTGTAAATATTGTTACATTTTAAAATATTATTTATAATAATTATAATATGAATTTATATCAGTTGAAAAAAGTACATAATTAAACATTTAATACAAGTACATAATTAAATTTCATATTTCATTAGTATAAATACTTTATATATAAATAAAAAAAAACTGTTTTAAAAAAATGTTAAATGATATATAAAATCTAATTTTAAAAAATTAAATATTTAATAATTATAATGTTAATGTAATAATTATCATGTTATAAATAAAAATTTAATTACAATAACATATAATATATGTAAATAAAAGTGATATCTAAAATAATATTTAAAGTATAAATTTTAAAAAAATAAAATAAAATTTTTTAATAAATTTTATATCAAGTTTTCTTTAAAATATTAGTAAAGTAAATATAAAATAATTTTTATAAATTTAATTTAATTACAGTAAAATAAATAAAATAACTTCAAAATAAACTCTTATTTTATATATTGATTATATACATTAAATTAAATTAGAATTTTATTAATGATTTGTGATTGTAAGATCATAATATATTTAACATTGTTAAGTAATTATATAATATATATAAAAATATGAATTGAATTTCTAAATTAAATATTATATTATTTTTATTAATAAAGTAATAAAACTAGTAGAATAAATTAATAATAATAAACTAGTACAACAAAATTTTAATATAAAAATATGTCTTTGAATTGAAAAATTCTATTATTGCAAAAATAAGATTTTCGTAAAATTAAAATAATCACATAAATCTTTTGGTGATTGTTAATATAACGATGCAATTTTTAAAAAAAGAAACAAAAAGATTAGTAAAAGTATAAATAATTATAAATATACATTTTCAATAAATACATACCAAATAAATGATATGACTCCTAAACATTATTTTCGTCTCTTGCACATTTATCTTAACAATGGATCGTGTAAAAGTATGTTCAAGGAATTCGACAATTCATAGGCATGAGAAAGTGATAGTACAAACAGCATTGACACTCACTGTATGGTGGATGTGAAGATTTCTGACGTACGATTAAGAAACTCGATCGAAACTCGATAGAATTTGGGTAGTTTCCCAGCTAATAAGCAATAAACAAAAATTTGATCACCCTTCCAGCTTCGTTTTTTCGATACGGTTAAAACAATAGCATGATGTTAAATGTCGAACTAGCGTCGTGCTTCGAGAAGCGAGCCACGTTATAAATGCAGTTTACCAGATTTTCGTAAACGATATCACGAGGGTACTTTCATTTTGATAGTTTTGCTTATGATGCATAATGCACCAAATACCGATTCCTTCGCTTCTGAACCAAATTCCCAGGGCACAGATGAGGTATAGGATAGACCTAACATTTAATGAGACTTTGTGTCTCATGTTCTGAAATACCGATCGTGCAAAAAGTTAGAATGTTTGATATGCCCTCTAGGTTTAGAGCGGTAAATGCAGAAATTATATTTAATTCAATTACAAAAGTTGATAAAATTAACAGAGTTTAAAAATAATTTCTTTATGCTATATCCTTTGATGATTTTTGTAATAAAAATCAATATTTTGAATAACTTTTTTTTTTTACATATAATAGATAGTAGATTTTAGTTTCTGAAATATTCATCAAAAAACTTTTGATACTATTGCATTAAATTCTGTTTAAATAAATATGACATACAAATATAAATAAAAATATATATATTTATAAGATAAACTTATAACATAAAAAAAATGAATCGAATTCTGTAAGATTCTATTAAGATTTTTAATCAATAAAATAGGGACAAAAAGTAAATAGAACAATAAAATTAAATAAATATCAGAATTGTTCTTTAAACAATAAATATAAATTTTGCATAACAAGTATAGATAAGGAAAACAAAATAAAAATTGAAGAATTAGCGCCATCTCTCGAATCCAAAAAGCATCTCTTCAAAGATAGGATAAAATAGAAGAAGAATTAAAGACCAGCGCCATTTCTCGAATATCAAAAACATTTGTTCAAAAATAGGATAAAATAGAATATGAATTGAACATCAGCGCCATCTCTTGATTATTTTTAAAAAGATATTTATCTCGAAAACAAAGAGATGGCGCTAGTAGCTACTTATATTTTATTTCTGTCTTCTTCTATTATTTGCTCTCTTTGTTCATGTTGTGTTTCATTTGCGGCACTCTGAAGATGGCGCTGATTACACAATTTTTAATCTATATCTATCCTTTTCTCATTTGCTCTTTGTCTATCACCCTTAACATGTGTGCGTAACACGAAAATACGATACACAAACGACACATAGAATGTCAATCGAACATCAATTGAATACATTCAGTATTTTTCTTTCCTACAATATGTTTTAATATATAAAATATATATTATATTATATTATATTATATTATATTATATTCTCAGTGGGATTTACACAAATGAAAACTTGTCAACAAAAAGTAAAGAAGTAAGGAATAATTTTGAATTGAATTATTAACAATATTAATACAAATATTCATTATAAATTATATATTATTTTTTTTTTTAATTTTCATTGAGCTATAAATATTTATAAATAATTTTTTAAACATTTTAAACATTTTTTAACCTAAGGATCATACTACATATCATTTTGATTCTCATTTTCTCACCTAAAAAAGTTGAAACTGTGTTTAGAAAAATAAATAACATTATCTAAAAATATCAGTCAAGTAATTCTAACACTCTTCGAACTAATCTAGTATTAAAATTATATATTAAATCTTACAATGATGCAAAAATAAACTTTGTAAATTAATATTATTTAATAAATTATTATAAATAAGGAGTAAGAAAACTGTTCCTTGAATCTGGAATGCAGTAATCGTTATTTTCGTGTTCGCATCTGATAAACAATGTTCGAACACTAGTATCTCGTTGTTAAATCGTGAAAGCCGGCCGTGTTTCGCGGGCATTGGTTATATTAAACCGATGCTCAATAAAATAACAAGAACGATCGATGCGCTTGAAGCGAAAGCGGAAAGAGCACGTCGCGTGTTTATGGATATTCCGCTTCCGAGAACATCGCCTCTCCATTCTCTCGCGCGAGATTATTCAATCTTCATGAACGGGACAAATGGGCCGTATATGTATATCATCGCTATGGCCGCGTGGATCACCTTATTAAGATTACAAGGGCTGGTTCCTGGCTAAAATCTAGGTCATCCGTAATAAGACGTAACCGATTTTTATTGGCACCTGCCATCCAAACTCACGACGATCCGCTTAATCATTTTATCGCATCGCGCGCCTGCTATTTTTGCAGCTTGCACATGAGCACGTTGCATTCACGGAAGTTCTGCCTGTTTTATTACGCTGAGAACTGTACCCGTTTCATGAAAAACCATATATTGAAAATTTAATTATTTGAATTATAAATGAAAGGTTATTTTCAAGAAGCTTTTGTTTTCTGTGATAGAAATCATATAGAAGAAACATATGTATGTGATAATTTTATTTTTAACACGTTGTGATATTTATTATTTGGATATTCGAAAATGATCTATCTTGCTATCTTTTAATCTCTATCATAAATATGTTAATGATAGAAAATGACATCCTAACCTAAAAATATCTTACAGTTCACAGATTTTTTTTATTAAAATATTACACTTTTATATAATAGATTGAACTGCCAAATTTCATTTGTTTTATCATCAAAGTTGTTATCCGGAGAATAAAAATATTTGTGATCATACATATATGTATGTATGTCTTGTCCAAACTATTGAATTATTAAAAAGAACAATTTAACATTATTGTAAAATACATTTTAAGAAATAAAATAAATATTTAAGTATCTGAATATTTAATAATTATTTAAGTATTATATAAAAATATATGAATAGTATATGAATATATGAATATAGTTACAATCACAGATATAATTTTGTTGCATTTAAATATGTGAGATTCTTATATGCTTAAAATTTAACTGCAGGTGTTTCTTACATATATTTAATTATTACATGTAATTTCCATCAGAGCAGTTGCAAGTTTCCTTAAAGTGTTTTCGATAAATACAGAAAGAGAAAGATATATAATTATAAATTTATCGAAATATAATAATAAATTATAATATCATACATAATAAATAACCAATATTTATTTTCTTATTTACACCATAAAAAAAAACAAAAACAATTTGTTCTTTTCTTTTTTTTTTACTAAAATTTTACGTATATTTTTTTTTTCATATTGTCTTAATAAGAATACGAATGTATCTTTAATTTATATTAATTTGTATTAAATTATCTTATTTGATAATAAGCGAGAGAATAAATTCCAGCATTTGTTGTCGGACAAAAGATATATGCGCACTATTGTAAATTCATAATACTACTTTTTTACCAAAGAAATTGTAGAGATAATTATAAAGATATAAACAATAGTCGAAGTATTGAACATAAAAATTATAAAATCAAAAGGTATATATTTGAAAAAAAAAAGAAAAATGTAAGATTTAAAAATTAATTTTTCGGAAAAATTATCTTTTAAATCTGGAACGCAAAAAGGCGGAGCATTTTTTTTCACTATCAAAAAATAATCATACTTTTGATTTTATCATCTTATCCTACCGTTACATTACGGAGACTTAACTTGAGATACATCTTTACAACACGTTTCGCTCGTAAATGAAATCGCAATCACTGCGATCGATATTCACGAAACACTGGACAACTAGGCTGTGCTTCGATACTGTTGTTACGCATGCATACTGAGTTTTATCGCGGTTTATCAGTGGATGCGACCGAGTCAAGCCGGTTTTTGTATCGGCAACGATCTTTATCGGCGCGGGCCCGAGTAAGTCGTCAGTGTAATTTTAAATTCGCGATGCGTCGAAGCGTCATTAAAGTGGTTTAAGAGGTATCGCCTGTGTTACCGCGGTTTTTCGACTTAAACGCACTGCCTCGAGGCGCGTTTAACTTCGATTACAGAAACTCGAACCGAGTTTGCGGCCTTTCGGAACCCGACCCGGAATAATGTCCTTACGTTTCTTTCTTTTTCCTCCATTTTTTTTCTTTTTTTTTTCTTCCGTTTACTCTTCGCCCAAAACACGGATTTTAATGTTGCAACGTTAATACATTATCTGCGTAAGTACCGTACGATTATTTTTGTTTCTTTTCTTGCAAACACGTCTCGAATAATATTTAATATAAATTTATGAACGAGAGAAATTGCATGTTTTTGGTATCTACATTTTTCCCATATATTATGAATATTTCGTTATTTTAATATCTCATTTTAGTTTCATCGTTATTATTACAATTTTAAGCTTTTCAAAATATCCAAAGGTGTTTATAAGGTGTCCAAGATATTTCCCAATATTAGTGAAAATTAGAGTGAAATGGGAACTAGATAGCATTGTTTTAGGGTTCCCTAGAATATCTTAGAATTACATTAATTAATAATATATCATCCAAATTAATAATTTTGTGAATTTTTAAAGATTTAAAATATATCGAAAATTTCATTTGAGACTCGTCACCTTAATAATCCTCAAAAAATATGGAATTTTGGGACTTTCGCAGAAAAAACTGGGACAAATGGGGAATTTTTCCTTTGATGGTACCGACAATCATCGAATCCCATTTGTTGAGAATTTATAAGCGATGTTCGCATTTATACGTTCACTTTCGTATAATTTTTGGTGTAAACTTTACTACAGTATATAGTAATGTTGGCAAGACGGTGTTGCTTCGATCGATCCGGGTAGCACGTGCTCGACCATAAGCGGGTGCAAATGAGCATGCATAAAGATAAATGTCACGCGGGAACCAAGGAATCATTGTGCACTATCTCATCGTGTCCTCGCTATATAGGTACCTTTCACCCCGTTCCGGAACAACGAATTCGCGTTCTTTTCGCTTGCTCTCGTTGCTTTTCGAACACATAAATAAGAAGGAACAGCTGGAAACGTACACGCATGGTGATACACGATCATTGAAACATTTCAAGTGAAAACTTTGGAATTATTTGTCGAATCTTTGAACGTTTGGTAAGAGAAAAAAATTCATTTCTATTTGTCATTCTTTTGAATTGTTTTTTTCATTGCATTAAGGATTAAGCTAATGATAACTCTGCGCCCAAGTTACTTTAGATTATAATTCCTTTACGATTCTCTAGAATCACACTGCATAATTAATATAATACGTATCTATCCGGACAGTTAACAATTTTGTAAATTTCTAAAAATATTGAATTTAAGATTTTAAAATTCATGGAAAAATTCGTATAAATTTGAACGTATTTGTAATTTGCTCGAATCGAGAGAAAAAAACACGAGAAATAGAGGAAGAGAGGATATGCGGGTATATGCTAGAATATATTACGTGAAAGATGCATACGTTCAGTTCAGTATTTAACTGTTCACTGAAAACTGTGTTTAGTGTTAAATTATGGTTTTGTATATTTAAAAAAAATTGTTCATCTCTTCTGTCCAATTCCTGTCTTCCAGATTCATCTAAAAAAAAGAAAAAAATTTCATTGTGATTGACGATCAAATTTTAAATAGATTTTTTTTTTTTAAATTTTAACAAGTTTTAATCAACGTTAAAGCGTTCGAACGTCGTGTAATCAATAATAAATAATTGTTTTTCACACCTTGTACATATATATAAGAGGACGAATTAAACCGGATCAGTAGTAAAGCGCGTGAATTATTTATTATCATACGTTACATATATATTATTCTGGCCCAATTTAAGGCGCAATTATTGACGTTGCTGTCTGCACATCGACATTGTCACCAATTTCTTGGCTGACTGATATCTCTGCATCGTATGTATACGAGTTTCAAACAGGCCGCATCAGCGATCGTATCGATGAGGAATACTTTTTTGACGATGATCGAATGGGATTTGCTGTACCGCTGTATCAAAGAAAATTGCACTTCCGCCGCACAACTGGACACAACATTAATCTCGTAAGCAAGTATGGGACCTTGTGTTTTTGTTGACTTCATTATTGTTAAGCGATTGGTCTTTCTGTTGAGCTGTTAAGTCATATCGCCGAGTTTGAGTAATGATACCTTTTTCTTTTTCTTTTTTTTTTTCTTTTGAATAATTATTTTTTTTAACGATTGTTCATTACCGTGGCCACAAGAAATATGATTAATGATCGACGAAATGGTCAGTTGACATTTTTGGTTGAATTTTTCTAGGCTTACGTGTGCTTAACAATAAGTACACGTAAGGGTATAAGTGTTTTGATAATGAATGAATGTTTCAATCTGTTATTGTTATTATTATTTGCTTTTTGAAGCAAACATAATTATTCAAAAATAACATTCAAATATACGATATATTATTTAAATATTTTACTTTGAATAATTTTTTAAACAAAACTTAATTTAAATAGAAATAAGTTTCTAGCACGTTTCATAAAGACATTTTGAAAAATTGATGAAACGTGACTAATTATATATATATATATATATATATATATATATATATATACATATGATTTTAATAAAAACCATATTATTGAAATTAAGTAATGAACAAATCTGAAATATCGTTCCAAGCGTTGAAAACACGGTTTACTAGAGTGCATATAATATTTTGCGACCATAATGAAAGATACTCGAAATGAGGAGTTAAAAACACGCGATGCTCGTTTTCGAGTTAGGAGACGTGCTATTAATTACGCCCGCGAAATGCCTATGTTTAAACGGAGCAGACCCGAATGCAACAGGTACAAAATATCCATTTCTTTATATAGGTGCTTATAATCTCGATTATATACCATTTTTCTGAATAACGTTTCTTAATTCCTTACATGATTAGCAAAATTGAAAAAAGACAAAAAATTTCTAGAAATAATTTTAAAATAAAAAAAAGTAGAATTATTTACATCTTTTTCTTAATAATAATTCTTATACTCTTAAGTGATCAACAAAATTGAGATTTTAAAAATATTTCCAGTCTTTTTCAAAGATTAGAGAAATTTTAAAATAAGAAATAATAAAAATTTTGTTGTTAAAATTTTATTATTACACTATATGTGTATATATATATATTCGTGGTGGTAGTGTGCAAAGAATCTAAAATATAATAAAAGGTTAATTCTTTTGAAATCGATTTTTCATTTAACAATGAATGCGATATTATTATAAAATAATACGGATAATAATAAATTAAAAAAAAAAAATAATGAGTCTAATATTCTTACAGATCTCATGTCATATCAGAAAAACTATAATCTATTATTTAATCCTGTAAAACTTATTATAGGACATATTATTCTATTAGTTTCAAAAGAATACAAATTGAATCTTTTTCTTACATATAGATCAATTTAGAAATTAAAAAAAAAAAAAAAAAGGAATCATTCTTTGTATCTGTATTCCTAATAAACAACCTTGTGTAAAGCAGCTGTTGCTAAAGTTTTCTTCTGATCAGTTTGAAAATATTTTATATACAGATTATGGTAATTTGTTTGTATTTTACGATTAAAAGACAAAGTAAAAAAAAAAAAAAAAAAAAGAAAGAAAGGAATATCCTGCACCGATAAAAACCATATAGTGTTCACACTTCGTGAAGTCTAATATACAACGTAACAAAAATGTCTTTTAAATAGCCATATATAGAAACTTGATTGGAATTACAAGGCTGTATTAACTTTCGGTCGACAAGAATCGACAAAAATGTAAACATCATTTTCGAAAGCAATAAGTTTTTTGCGTTATCCGAATTATGGCCACGTTACGATAGACTTGAACAGCAATATATTACGAATTTTACAAATATAAATTATTTATATAAGCTATCGTGTTAATTATCACGAAAGAAAACGACGACACACGACATTTTTACATGTCAATATATACAATATATACACGATAGTCGATTAAAACACTCACGAACGAAGCTTTTTTTCTTTTATACATGTATAAAGTATGTTATACAAATTGCATATTTATATTTAAACAAGTTTGAAATAAGATTATTAATATTTTTTCGAACATTTAGCGATATCAGATAATAGAGATCCATAGAATTAAACATGTTCTTGTTGATTATTAGTTCTTATCGAATTAATTGAAATTCCTTATTTCAAACTCGAAAAAATATATAAAATTTGGAATCTTGATTTACTATGGATAAAGAAATTCGAGTATATATAAATAATTGTAATTATTAATAATTTAAAGAAGAGATATTAAATATTTATGATAATATATATATTATTTTAAACACTTGTAACTTGATAATAAACATTTATTTATTTTTTACATTTATTTACGTGTTAACCTTAATTTAAATAATATTAAAAAATCAAAGATTCATTTCAAGATCACATCATTAAATTTTTTTTAATTTTAATTCATTATATTTTAATATTCATTAAACAAGAAGATGCAATGATGGTCTACATATACGTTTTTAAATATAAAAATATATGGATAACTTTAAAAACTGACAATAATTTTATTTCTTTTTCGATATCACAAACTTGTAATGTTCTAATAATTTGTAATAAAAATATGAAATAATTAGCATATTGATTTGTTAATAAATAAATTCACATATAATTTAGTGAATTATTAACTATAAATAATTTAGATATTGTTATCCTACTATTAAAAAAATTTGTAATCATTTTTCTAATAATTAGATTGAATTTTTAATTAATTTTGTTATTAATTCATAATTATTGCTATAAATATCAATAATAATTGTAATTATTTTATTAGATTTAATACAAAAAAATTTTCTGCTCTAACAATATTCTAATCTGTCTTTCTCTTTTTTCTTTTAAGTATTGAATTTTATGCAATACATTAATTCCAAACTTTTGATCAGTAGTAATGACAAATAAACGATAAAGAAAAAATTAAATGTTATTCAAGATGTCATTAATCATTTTCTGATAGATATCTGTATTAGAAATAACTTCAATATCAATAACTTATCGAAATATATAATCTTATCGTTTATGTTTCGATAATATAATTGAGATATCGATAATGGAAATAGAAGTAAAGAAGTTGAAATAGAAAGAAGTATAACATATTTATAACATTATATACTTCTTTTTCTTAATTTAAATTTATTATAGCCAACATGTTAATATATTTCGTTGGTAATTCCATTTCTCGATTAAATAAAATTTTACGAATTTTTGAAAACAAGAGATTTTTAGGTGCAGAGAATGAAGGTATGCATAAATATTCTAATGCAAGTTTCGAAAGCCTTGGAAACGTTGAATGGCCCATGTTATTCCACCATATGATTGGATCGGTTTTTCTATTAATTATTTTCACATTTGCGTATCTATAAAAACAAACAAGAATTATAAATGTACTGTTATTGTTAAATGTCAATATCTTATTCTTAATAACAGATAGAAAATTTTTTATTTTAATTTTCTTTTTCAATTAGAATTATCGATAAAATAATTCAATATATATAATAATTCAACCATAATACCATTATTTAATCATAATGAAATGATTAAATAATAATTAAAATAGAAATAAATAAATAAATAAATAAATATATATATATATATATATTTCTAAAACTCAAAATTAAATTGACCAAAAATCTTGTATTTTTATTTTTAATAATTGCAAAAATTTAATAATGAACAGAAAAAAAGTAAAATACATAAATTAAATAATTGTTAGAATACCTCTCCAATTCATACTTCAATGAATAATAAATTTCACAATTATCAAATTCAATCTGCAACTCTTGAACTCTCTTATCGAATACTGCCCACAAAATATTCGTTTCTTTATTCTCCTCTTTTATCTCCACTTTATCCATATGTAAATCAGAATTATTCTTTTCATTATTGAAACAATAATTTAACTCCTGAATCAACAAATGTTTCGCCAATTTAACACATTCTTTCGATTGAAACGCGATATCCTTGTATCTAGGATCCAAAAACGTGGCAATGGCGTAAACAGGATTTTTTTCGATATTCTCAAATCGTTTACCGAAAAATGTTAATAAATTGTCACGGAACAAAATCACATCTTGCGACAAATTATCCGTATTTTTCAAAGCAGCCTCCACACCATGAACTATGGGTATTATTTTTGAAATTGTCACGGTACAATCGACCAATAATTCTCTCGTAGCCTCGTGCAATGGTTTCAAAACCCTTATCATCTCGGAAATTATCCTCCATTCATGCTCTGTCAAGGATGGTACGTCCTTCTGCGACACTTTGAGAAAAACTTCTGATAGAACAGATCTTAATTCGTTTATATTGTTCAACAATAAATACACAGTGGTCCATCGATCAGTATCTTTGAACAAATTCGAAATTTTCGATGAATTTTCTCCAAGTTGATGCTTCCTCAATAATTTCGTAACGGTGCTATTGAATCTAAAAGAATGAACAATATTTCGACATTTATTCACCACCTCGTTTATAATTTCAGTATCTCTTATAGCGTTTCGTGTGATCAAGTTCAACGTGCGACCGAAACAATATATCTGTCGCCATTCTGTTTCATTCGTGTTCACAATATCACTTTTACCATTGTAAACGACAGTTCTTATTTTCGAAGCGATCTTCCAAGTGTCAGCAACTTTTAACAAGTTCTCGCTTATAGTCGTTTTATTCATTTGTTTCAGGCACGAGATCTGCAAAACTTTATGATGCTGGACTTCGTTGGCGCAAAAATGCGCGATCGTTATCATAAATGGTAATCCGCGTTTAGAATCTGTGCATAAACTTGTGGTAAGGTGAATATTCGTCGCTTTCGATAAAATTTCATTCATTTCTACGCATTTACGCTCGTACAATTCTGGAAGATATTCTAAAATCAAGGTATCTTTATCTGGCACTTTGTATTTGTCGTTCAACGTTCTTATGAAATTTGTGAATCCTTTTCCATACACCGTGGAGAACGGGATTACGTTTTCGGCTATGATTTGTATCAAAGATCGTGTTATCTCTCTGTCTCGTCTCAAATCAAAATATTTTTCCGATATATCACAAATTTTCGAAGAAGTTGACGATCTCTGTCTGGATGATTTCCACGAAGTGGACGCGTGATTTTGGTTTGTTTTTTTATTTGGTTGACTAGGTAGTTCGTTTTCTAGAATATTTTTGTGACGTATACGAATATGTGACCACAGATTCGTTGTGTTTTTACAATAAGGCACCGTGAGATTGCACTTGTTGCACTTGACAATCGCGTGTGATCCATCTTCTTGGTAATTTATGGAAAAATGTCGCCATATGGCACTTCTCTTCACACGAATTTTAGGCATGTTTAATTATTCGTAAAAAATAATTCTTAAAATATTCAATACTAGAAAGAATTAAATATTCTTTTTATTAATTTTAAATATATATATATATATAATTTTTATTCGTATTGTAAAATAATTTTTATGTATTTATAAAATATTACTTTTTTAATATCGATGTGTTTTGTTCTAAATTTTATTTTTATTTGAAAAAAAATATCTCTTGAATTTTCTAGAATTTATTAAATCACTAATAAATAATAATAATAGATTTTTTTTTAAATTTTATAACAATCTATATTTTATTTTAGACGAATATTAATATAGCGTTTATTTTATTTAGTTTCCTGCTCTGTTACTAAGAATGATACTACTAACATCAAATTTTACGATTAAACTGTGACGATGATGCTATTAATGATTAGCGATAAGATATCGATAACTTATCGATAATATTATTAATATATCGATAATAAAATGAAAATAAATAGAACAATTTATAATGCATATAAAATCTACAAATAAAGTTATAGTTTCAATTTTTTAAATGAATTATTTAAATATATCATAAAGTTATTGAGAGATTATTTTTATTATATAGAAATTGTTTTCGTAGCTTGATGTTATGTGAGATAAAATAAATGTAGATGCACTTAAGATTATTTTATTAATTAGATTAGAAATAGATTATATGATAAATTTTTTTTCATTGATTAATATTCCAATTTCCATAATTCACGTTCATAATAAAGATTAATTTAAAAATTAATTTTTTACTACAAGTATTTTATAAAAATTCATAAATATCTATGAATATTATAATATTATAATATTAACAAAGATAAAAATAAAATAATAACAGTTATTTTCAGCATATAATTTTTATGTAATCGATTGTTATAAAATGAAAGAATTTTAATTGTCATTATATAAATGACAATATCAAAAAAATAAAATCAATATTCTTATCATATTTTATTAATTCCTAAAATGATAGAATATTCATATTAAAAATTTAGAAAAATAAAAGGGTACAATACAAACTTGTTTTCGTAAATTATAAAATTTCAAATTCTTTATCTAACTTTGCTTCAAGTTCGCTATATAATATAATATAATATAACTTGTAATATACACGATACATTATTCAACTCAAATAATTTGAATTCGAATCATTCAAATTCCTTTAAACCTTTAAACCTTATTATAAATATATAATATATGTAATATTAAGATATCGAATTCATATTCCTTTATATTAAATATTAATATTATCAATCAGGATTTTTGACTCAGTGCCGCGGGAATGAAATGAGCTGTCGGGGCAACAGGTGAAGTATAGGGTACAATTTTTTCGTTGCCGATAAATCAGTGAAGATAAAACGAGTCTAGCTGCCGGATTATACGTTGCACCTGTTTTATCTTTCCTTTTTCGGATTATCTGCCTCTTTCTATTAATCTTTCTTTTCAGAATACAATTAAACACAAGACGATGGATCTTGAGTAATGGAAGTGATTTACATTTTTATGAATTGATTAATTTATTACTGATAATATTTGTTTCGATTATTTACATATAATTTTTTTTTAATTATTTTTTAATTGGATATATGTAAAGTAGCTATTTGTAAATCTCTTTGGATAATTATTTTTAATTAATTCTTGGAATTTTTTTAAATTTATTTATGTGATTAGATAAAAATTTATATAATGGTAATTTTGTAATTACATCAAATTAGAAAAGTTTTATGAGTAAAAATTTTCGAGAAAATTTGGAAAATTTTTTTTCAAGTTTTCGAGATAAATGCCAATCGAAACATTAATCATCGAAAGCATAAATGATAGGAAATTGTGGTCGAAGTTAACGACATGTATATATATAAACATATATAGAAGCAGGGATTGCATGGCGAGTCGAGGATATGCGGGTAGCATGTCCAATTCCCGCGCAACTGTGCCTACACCCGATTTATACCTGTACAAGAGCCAGTTCTCGGCGTCTTGGAACGTGCAGCTGACCGTTTTCCATTGCCACCTGTACCGTTCGTCTCCTTTCGTGTATACTTTTCCGTTTTGCGGTCCCACACGCGCGACTTTTAAAGAGACTTTTGAAGAAAAGAAAAAAAAAAGAAGTTCGTTTGCCGCCCGTACCCTTCCAATCGATACCGCCATTTTTTCTTAAATTTTCGCGACTTCTCGAGTCACTCATTTGCTTTTATAAGTTATACGAATATTTTATAACGGAAGTATCCTTTTTTTTTCGAATTAAATTAATTTCTTTTTATTAAATTAATCGAAAAATTATGCTAGAATAAAATTTTGCGGACAGATGGTTCGTTCTCTTTTATAATAAAATGATATTACTAAATTGATAGATTATAAATTATAAGATTTCTTTTTTAATATAATTTTATTGTTTCTATTTATAATTTGATTTTAGAGTTTTGTTTGTTTTATTATTAAACTTATTGTTATGCAAAATAATCTTTCGATATTTGTGATTTGTAAATAATAATATTAATTTATAATTGTTCAAAAACGTCTCGATCTGTTTTTTTTTTTTTTTATAAATTTACGTATGTTGTCATAATTAACATAATTCTAAATATAAATAAAGAAATTTATACTTTACATAAAAAGGAAAAAAAATTTTTAAATTAATTAATAACATTTTTTTATGATCACATATATTATCGTCAATAAAACATTTTCTTATTTATAGTTAATTTATGTGTAATTTATTTATATTTTTATCTATTTTTTTTTAGCAATATATAATTGAATTCTGGTTAATAAATATTTATTACAAATTCAATGCATATAAGTCAGATATTGTTGAAAGTTATAAAAGCATTGGTCGAAAGTGACATTGACGTACGGTGTCTCCATAATACTGAGCACCTGTACGGATATAGTTGCGTCATTATTGTAAAAAAAAAAAACCTCAATTATTTTAGATAAAGAAAGAAAAATACAACTTTTAATTACCTCGATATATTTGATTTTTCACTTGATATTATCTAACACACTTTTTTTAATAAAAATAATATCCTCGTTATTTTTTTTTTTTATAAAAAAATTAATTTCTCTTCGTTTCGTTCTCTATGAATTCTCGCTCCTTCATCTAACGCGAGTCGAAATTGAAATGTTCGATGGATTTACGCGGATATCGAATATAAACAAAATCTAAAGCGACTTTACTTTCAACTTTCGTCTTTGTTTTGGTTTTTAAAATTAAATCGTTCCACGAATTTATCGACACGTAATAACTCGTTTCAATAACATTCACGTATAATAACATTCTATCGATCAGTAGACAGACGATCTTGCGCCAGTGAATATCGTTCTAAGGAACGACGTGCGCGTGTAACGTGCGATATCGATCGATTCGATTAAAAGTCACGTGGACGAGTGGATCGCGGTGCAAGCATCGCGGTAATGCGCATTTAATGACAGAAATGAAGGGGAGTAACGTCTCTGGGGAAAATTTTTGCTTCGACGGTGGCGGAGCATCGGTTGTCCCCCGATATCCGTGTAAATCCATTTCGGGATCATCACGCGACAATAACGTTAAACTTGAATCGAGTCGATTCCTTTCGCGTTTCATGTCGAGTACTAATTTTATTGTTAATGTTTCCTTGCCTCTTTCGTGTTACGTTACGATTTATTTTTATCACGATGTCATTAACGAAGAATCCAATGAATTTCAGCTCAATAATAAATGCCATAACGTTAAAAATTTATTAAGGTGGCAAGTTTTAACAACTTTTGATGATCATTTTATTTTAATTTTTTTTTAAATTTATCTAGTTATTAATATTTTGTTAATAGTTTGATGATTAATAATTAGACATATTTAAATTCTTTCACGAATTCGTTTCTAAAGCGATTAATTTCTCTTGTTCAATCGTTACTAATCTCGTAATTTCAAAATTTGTCGCATTCCATCCACTTTGAAGTGTGCGGCGTTCATCGAAAAGGGTGCAACGTGTAGTTTGCTAGTTACGTTTTTTTCGATATTGGCACGTACCGTGTGTCTTCACCTGCACGGCATATGGTGACGGTGCAGAACGATGATCCATGTCGATGATGCCTATATCGGGGGATGCCAGTTGGATTGAACTGCCGGTTAATTTGGTGCTCATCCCCGCGACCCACTGGTTTTCGAGGGTCGAGAGCCTCTACTTCCGTTACTTGACCCTTCCCAAGGGAGTCACGCACCGTTGATTCCATATTTTCTCTCTCTCTCTCTCTCTCTCTCTTCTTTTTTCTATTTTTTATTCTTCTCTTTTTCCCTTCTTCTTCACTTTTTTCCCGTCTTGCTTCATCTTCTTATTTATTCATTTGTTTTTTTACCCTTTAAAATCCACTCTTTCCTTTTTACACGGTATTTTAAAATTCTTTTAAAATTCTTCCTTTTATCATATCATATCGTTCCTTTAGTTATACGTAATTATTACTCTCGTATAGAGGAGATGATACGTTATTGTGTTACTCGACTGATTATTTGTAAAATTTCGGCTAACGGATTATATTAAATTGACAATACAAAAGAATCTATTATTCATATATAAAAATTGAATTAATTAAAGTGTTCTTTTATACGTATTTCAATTGACTTTTTTATTTCCATTGTTAAATTTGATCACACGCATTAAATATTGTTTCGAATAATTACCAAAGCGAACTTTAATCGAATTATTACAATTCGTAAGGAATATTTTTAACATTATTGAATATTTTTATATTTATCGCCATTCCATTTCCACGTAAACACGTTAATCATTCCATTAGATTGATTTCGCATGAAAATATATTCATCAATAACAAAACTTTCTATCGGTCAACATTTTATTCACTTTCTTTCCAAAAGAAATGCGCCATCAATCACCTCGCCGCACAACATGATCGCGGCCATTAAAATCATCAAATAACAATCAAGATGCTCCTCAATTCCGTATCAATTGATAAATTATTACCGGCAAAGGACGCTCGATATGGTTATTGCATGGGCAATGTTCATTAATAAAAAAAAGTAACGTTTCTGGAAGTATGTTTTGCACGATACGAATTGCAATGCCCTCTTCTTACGGCACACGAAAGAACCGAAAACTGGCCACGGCATA